CTTAGGTTTAGGTGGGATATGACTGTGGAGTTCCAGGAGACAGAGTAGATTGGTTTGAAATCTTGAACGCGTGTGGCCATTCAGCTAAGTGACTGCCTGATTTAGGCGAAATACAAGGGGCAGACATAACATGGGTAGGAAAAACATAAATGGGGAAGACAGATTGAGGTGGTGATTGGGGGCATAACTCCGACCTGTTACATCGCTCTTGTCCTTTCGTCTTGTCCTCTTCTTCACTCCGACTTTTTTCCCTTTTTTTTTTTTTTTTTTTTTTTTTTTGTAGGAGCTTTGATTGAAAGGATGCACAACGGAACTAGTGACACGCAGTCTGCTTTCCTCAATCATATGAAACCGAGCTTATTACATGACAAAGTGAAGGAAGGGATTGAAGGTGGGTGGAGTTGCTAGTACGAGATTATTCCATATATCAGATGAGCAACAGGTTGATCCGCAGGTAAGACTTGCGGCAGGTCTTGCGTTATCCTCAATGGGGAGTCACTCAGACTTGTTCTCCTCTTCCCCTTTCCCCTTATTAATTCCTTCCCGCCCCCCTTTTTTTTTTTTTTTTTTTTTTAGTAACTTATTGACAAATGTGAAACTCGGGGCCTGCTGACGGCCTTAAGATATTCTATTGGTGGGAGTTGACGTCACTTATTGAAAAATAATCAAGATGTGATAAGGATATGAGATGCATAACGTAGGGTTGGATTTAGGAGGTAGAGATAGCACATGATCCGATCAGAGAGAGATTTGCACTTTGAAGAGAGAGAAGGTACAAAGGAAGAGGGTTCCGTCGGGGTCAGATACTTGGATGACAGGGGTAATACCGCCTAGTCATAAGTAGCTGAAAAGGAAGAATGAAGGTTAAGATGAGGCGAGTGCAACAAAAAAATGGCAAATTGGAAGGGCGATGAGCAGATCCCTTCGTTTTTTTTTGTTTTTTTTTTTAAATGAAAGAAATGACGTTGCAACAGTTGCGAATAACAAGGGCCATATGCGACGGATAATCCCTTTGTTCCTTCTTATTGTTTACGAGTGAGAAGTAAACATGCAACGGATGAGATTGACAACAGGTATATATATACATATATATATTTTAAATTATGCACAGAAAAAAAGGTCAACACGAGCCATATATTATCTAAGAAGGCAGGAATAAGATAGATTAAAATGTGAAGTCATTTCATATTATTCATTGTCAAAATTGAGACGGGCCGATCAAGCACCTTGATGAAACAAAATTTATTGAGTGTTCGCCCTCCTGGGGCTTGAAGGAAATATGAAACAGGTTATTGCTGTACGATGAGCAGGATAGATGGTGAAATTGCTACTCGAAAAGCAAGGAATTGAAGTTGAGCAAAATGTTTGACATTGTTGGTGAAGCCTTCTTTCTTTCTTCCCTTTTTTTTTTTTTTTTAAGAGCAGAATTCAGAACAGATGAAAATGACTTGTTTCTTCGAAAAAACCAATTTACAGGCAAAAAACTTATTAATAGTCGCCAAGTTCAAAGAGGAAATGCCACAGTTTTCACCACCGCTCGGACATTAAAAACCAGAAAACGCCACGGTTTTCACCACCGCTTGGACATTAAAAACCAAATTAGTGTTCAACAGGGTAGCTGACACTGAGAGCTCACTAAGGAAGTCGACGTTTGGGTGGAGTTATGGGGAGAAGAAGGAAGAGGATGAGGAGTTGGGTAAGGAAGGTGAAGAAGATAAGGGCGAAGAGAACGTAATCCAGGTTTCTGCAAATTCACGGTTTTCTCCGGGGTCTCGGAGTCTTGAGTGCAGGGGGGGAGGTTTTGGGGGAATTAGGTAATTGGGAGGGGACGAGAAAAAGGGGATGTAGTGGGGTGGTTTGACGGGGGTTGGGGGAGGGAGGGGGAGATTCACTCTCTGAGTGACTCTTCTTCTTCCTTCTGGAGTTGTGCGGCATCCTGAGAGCCTTCTTGTGAGGGATGGATGAGAGAGAAGCTAAAGATCCCTCTATGCTTGGAGGAGATAAAGAGTCGAGGGAAATCAGGGGAGCAGACTGGACGAGGGGAGAGAGGTTGGTGGGGATGACGAGCATAAGCTGGTGCAGTGCCACAGACTCTCTTCCTAAGATTGCGGAACCAGGGCCCCGGGCCCCACGAGATCAGCTCCTCCAGACGAAGTAAGATGGCTGCCGAATCTTCTAGTGAGTTGAGAAAGTCGTTGAAGAAGGTGTCGATCGGAGCGGCTGATTCTGAAACAAAGTAGCTTGAAAGAAGATTGTCGAAAAGGCAGTGGAAACCATCCACTACCCAATGGCGAGCCTGCTTGGATCTGAGGCAGGCGACGCACATGGCCAAGCAATAAAAGTTTGCTGAGATAAGATCAACAGCAACCTCCTTGAAGTCGGCAAGGTCTCTTCGCACACGGAGCAGTTCCCTTGGAGATAGATCCAGTATCTTTCTATTGTCGACGAAGGTGGATTTGAATAGACAGGGTGCGAAGAAGGAGTGAGAGAAAAGTTCGACCGCAGCGTCCCACATGAGGAAGAAGATTTGGCCTGATCTGCCGTTGAACTTAAATTTTGCAGCGCTTCTGGCGAAATCCGCAATGTCTTGAGGAGTGAGTACATAGCCGTAGCGAGAAATTGAGAGAATCTTTTGGAGTTCTATCAGAGAAGGGGGAATGATAACTGGAAGGAGGAAAATAATGAGGGGTAAGACAAACGCTGTAGGGGGATCGATAACGAAGAAGTTATTGAGGACATCGTCAGAGGAGATAGGGGGGCAGGGGAGAAGGGGGAGGGGGCGGACAGGAGAGAAACGAAATGTTTGAGGAAAAGCTGAGAGGGTTCAGGGGAAGATGATTGGAGCAGGTAGTGGGAGGGAAAATGAGATATGAGAAGTGGGTCGAAGGCAACAACATCCAAATCCGGAAGGGAGTGGTAAGACGGGGAAGGGGAGGGGGAGGCGGAGGATGGTGATGGCGATAGGAAAGAGAGGAAGGGAGAGGACACAGGTGGTGAGGCAGGGGGGAAGAGTGAAGCGCAGACAAGGGAATAGCGGGGAAGGTATGCCATTCGTTTTGGCCGGCAGAAGCCATTGGGACAGACGGGCTTACCGGATGCTTAAGTAGACCGGCGACCTGAGCCTGAAGCGTGGTAACTGACCTGAGACGGAGGGGGACTGCGGATTGACCTGAGGCTGACTGACTGGCGTGATGCGAGGTGAGAGCGCAGGGGTCTGCCTGACAGTAGAGAATGCGGGTGAGAGCTAGGAGAGTGGAGAGGGCCGCGAGGGGAAAGGCTGTGAATGAGGACACAGCCCTAGGCCAAAATCGGCGAGGGAAAATGAGCTCTCTTCCCAACAAGTGGCTGACTGCTGTGTGCGATGTGACAGGTTTGCGTACGTGATGAGCGCAGCGGCTGGCGGACGAGCTGCGGAGAGTACACCTCACGAATCCTTGCAACCTGCAGCGACCGGTCCTCAACCGGTCACATATACTGTATCCGTGCAGGGGAGTGGCAGCGGTCGGCCCAGCGAGGCCCTACTGCATCCAGGGTAAGTCCCGCTCAACTCCCAGTCCCAACACAGATCTTGGAGAGAGCACAATCCTGCCGTAGATCTAGAAGGCCCAAAAGAAAAGAAAACTTTGAAAACTGAGACAACCGAAGATGCAGAAAAAGAAATGCGGGGAGTCCGTGATCCAAGAGGGTGACCACCGAAAAGACAGTTGGGTCTGCTGAGGCGGTGGGTTGAAGTACTGGCCTCTCCTGAAACGACCAAACTGCACCCAACCAGAAAAGCGGGTATAGGACAACTCTTGCCACGCACTATAGGACAACTCTTGCCACGCACCTACAGTCACGGCGGTGGTGACACACAACTGTTCGACAGAAGAAACAGCCGTTTTTTTTTCCCAGCCGTACCCTGTGGGATGTCAAATTTTCCCCAGAAGTACCTAAAGAACTTCGGATCAGAGGCTAATTAGACTGCTGACATTTACGTACCGAAAAGTGTGAAACCGCAGAAAACGGACCCTTTCTGGCCATAAAACCTACCTATAATTTGCGATTTTACCATTATGCGTGCTAGTGTGAATATGCACTCAGCAAGATTCGAACACACGTCTATTCAATCAGCATTTCATGGGTGTACCCTTTTTGGACGGTTTTCTGTTGCCCTCTCGCAAACACCATGGCTCTATCCGTCAAATCAACCCGTGGTTCACACACCCGTTCCGAGCCGCCAGTTTTTTCACAGGCTGACGTACAGTCTGGTTCCCTGATAACCTGTACGATCCACACCGAACTTGCGTCGTTTTGGAACACTCTCTGGCTCTTTTGGCTGTTTCTTTTGTGTGTGCGAGCACTGACGGCTGTGTGGGACGTATGGTCTACTGAAGGAGTGTCCACGTAGCGTTGCGCGTCGCGTTGGCGTGCGTGGAAGGGGGACTGGGTCGTGCGCCCTCGCGCGCGCGCGCGCGCCATCTCCGTGCCGCCTAGATCCTGATCGATATGAAATCCCCGCTCTTTTTTTTGGCCTTCCCATAATTTTTTGCTTTGTTGTACATGTGTCGAATCTGGCGGCCTCTACCCCGCAGATACTTCGCAGTTACCAGGCTATCCACGAAATTCGATTCGGCTCCTCTTCCTCGTCCTCCACGCCGCTACGCAACCTCTTCGGCATTCAATTCCCCGCGCTCGGCCAGCTTGTCTTCCCCGGCCATTCGTCGGTGAATGAAGGTGCGGGCCCTCCCACTTTTGTCTGCTCCCATATCTTCGGGCTTTTCGTTATTATTATTATTATTATTATTTTTTTCCATTTCTCGATTTATGCGTGTCATCCTTGCGCAGATGTCTGGATGACGGCTTTTCGTTGTAGTGCGGTCTTTGGTACGTTTACCCGCCGTCTATCATTGGCGGCTTCGTTTCTTCAACTGAAACTGGCCTCTTTTCATGTACTTGCTCACATTAGGACTTTTCCCACTTCGCTGTGAACGTAATTGCGGTTAGGTACCTCTAGGGCGGGTCGGAAACAAGGTGAGGAAAGTCCTTGTGTGAGTATGCCCTGATGCGTTTCGAGAAAGGCAATAGAATAGAAGTTGGAGCATCATCGTTGTCAGCAGCAGCAGTAGCAGCAGCAGTAGAAGTCGGAGTAGGAGTAGGCGCAGGACTGGTTCCCTGTTCGGGTCCTTCGCTTGGGTACCGGATATAGTTGTTCCCTTGCGGCGGGGCAATCGTTTGTGCCGACTGTTTGGCACGAGAAGTACCGTATCTGTTGCGTTGGGGAATTGTGGAGGGATATTGCGTTAGACTTTTGGCGTTGGTCGTCAGAGAAACAGTGGCAGAGCAGTAGCAACAGCGACAGAGGCGGCAGAGTTGTCACGCTACCTACCTCGCTCGGCCTTGTGTGCCTTGGAAGAAGATCGGGGGGCGTTGAGACGTAGACGAACGGTGAAGGGCAGCAGTAGAGGCTTAGCCGCGGGCGGATCTGTCCGTTCATCAGCACCGCCGTGACACAATGGGTAAGTCACTTGTGAAACGGATCCGTCTTTTTCTGTCTCTCTCTCTGTCTCTCTCTCTCGCTCTGTACCCCAACTGGATTTTCTGCTATCGGCCTCGCTCCCGCTTTCTTCTGTTCTCCCTCGCCTCACCTCTGTGGTCAGGCTTGCTGTTTAACGATCGTCTTCTGTCGTCTCATCCGTTCTACGTCGTTTCGTGGGAAGTTTGGATATGGTGATTGCGGGGTTGAGAGAGAGAGAGAGAGAGAGAGAGAGAGAGAGAGAGAGAGAGAGAGAGAGAGAGAGAGAGAGGTGCAGCGCTCTTGTCTTTTTTATTGGAAGAATTTGTGAGCTTAGCGATACTGCGGGAGAGACGGAGCAGCCCTTGGATTCTTCCATAGCTTTCCAACGTGCAATCCAGTTGAAAGAACACTTCGAAGATTTTGTTTTTAAGTAATTATTTCTTCTCAGTTTTATTATTACAGTAAATTGCGACCATTTCTCGATTTGTGCGTGTCATCCGTACACAAGCGCCACGCTAATGTTCGCTTTGTCGTTCCAATTTTAACGGAATTCCCCCTAGAAGTTTTCTTTTTTCGTTGACAAAAAATGTTCTCTTTGTCGTTCCAATTTAAACGGAATTCCCCCTAGAAGCTTTCCTTTTTTTTTGTTGATGAAGAGCTTAGAAGTATTTCCATTCAATCCGAGGCGAAGTTTTTGTTCTTGGTCGTCGTACTCCATCCGAGCTTCGTTAGTTTCTAGGCGGAATGCAATTACACTCAATGCAAGCTAGCGTGACATTCCATCTGCGTTTGTGTGTGAAAACACGACGAGGATTGTGAAAACACGACGAGAATGCGGTGAAGGAACATTTTCTTCACCGGAACAGCCCGCAGGGATATCGTTTGTAGTTAGACGGAAATCCCTCTGCACATGGTTTCTGTCGACCTGCGGGCTCCTGCAATGCGCAATGACGACGCCCCCGGGCTGTATTCGGGGGACCATGACAGAAGGTTATGGCAACCGAAAAAAAGCATGCGGGTTGCGAAGAATCGCCAAGGGAAAAAAAAGAAAAATCGGCGGGGAAAAAGAAAAGACCCTGTGGAGCTTGACTGTAGTGCGACTCTGTGAAATGATTTGAGAGCCTAGAATAATAAGTGGGAGCCTCGCTGCGCCGCAAGTGTAACACAGCTACTTTTTTTTTCCCACCTACTTTTAACGTTATTTAGAAGAAAGAAAAGAGCATGCACATATTCAATTAGGTACTACAACTGCTGATTACTTCCGATTGCCTTCCTTTATTTGTTTGTATGCGTTCTTTCTATTCCAGCGTTCCCAGTAGTTGAACATTTGCACTGTATCACATGCGTAAATCAGAAAGAATATAGACAAAGGGCATCTCGCTCCACTGCTCACCACATGCACAAAAAAATAGAAGAAATGTGGCGGTGTATCTTTCCATAGAGTAGGGGCATTAATGAGGTGTCTGTATTTGCCCGAAAACCTCTGTTCAATGCAGTCACGAATGCTTTGGGTCGTATTCAGGCACAAGATGGTTTTTGATATTGCGGGTGGGGGAAAAAAGAGATGGTCGTTGATAATTCAGCCGGAAAGGAGTTCTTACGAACTTCTACCTGCCACGTGGGTGCCCTCGCTCACTTAATTTTTCTAACGTTATTCGCTAGCGAGAATACGCTAGCGTTTTCCCTCTTTCCTCTGGTTCTATCTTCCTTTTCTCTCGCAACCCCTCTGCTGCTGTCTTATGCATGAAGGTAATCGAGGCAGTTTCCCCAGAAAGGAAAATCTTATCCTCTCCCCCACCCCCCGCCCCCCCTGCATGCTATATGCATGCAGGTAAATGGAGGCAGTTTCCCTAGAAAGGAAAATTCCCCCTTTTCCGCAGGGAATTTGAAATTTTTGAATTTTAAAAGCGTCTATGCTTTTGAAATGAGCTTCACAGCTCCTGCGCAGACATAACAAGCTCGAAACATAATGAATGATGGGTCGAAGTAATGAGGAAATACGGGCGTGCCACGAACTAGGAAAAACTATTCGAACCGAATGTAGCGGCAGTTCCGGTCACATACCTTAATGAAATTCGTAGCGGGAGTATGAAGGATTGAAGGAACTAGGAAAGAACTTTTCGAACCGAATGTAGTGGCAATTCCGGTTACATACCTTCACGAAATTCGTAGTGCGAGTATGCAGGATTAAAGGAATGAACGGAAAAAATGCATACCGTGATGTTTCTGACGATCAAGCACAGCGTGCCTAGCACGATGAATACGAAGTAATAAACCAATATCTCGAATGAACGAATAAGGAATGATTGAGAGAATGGACGAATAGAGGAATGAATGAAGTAATGAATGAAGTAATGAATGAAAGTAATGAATGAATGAATAAAGATGGGATGAAGGAATGAAAGAATGAATGAATAAAGATGGGATGAAGGAATGAAAGATGGAATGAAAGTTGGGATGAAGGCATGGATGAAGGAATGAAGGAAGAATGGGAGTAAGGAGTGGAGGAATGGAAGGGTGAAGACGAAGAAAGAAGGAAGGCAGGCAGGAATGAAAAGAGTTGCAGATGACCGGAATTCGTTCGAATGCTTGTCACTGTCCTCTCCTTGCTACCATATTCGTCGACCTTCCTTTCCATGTGTCAAGAAATCAGAATGGAGTGAGGAAGGAATGGAGGAATGAATAAATGAATGAAGGAATGCAGGGATAAAAGAACTGTAAATGTCTGGAATTCGTCCAAGTGCTTTGTCACTCTGTCGTCTCCTGACTTTCATATTCGACCTTTCCTTTCCATGCGGCAGAAATGGGCATGAAGGGAGGAACGAATTCGACGAATCAATGAAGGAAGGAATAAAGGAATAAAAGAAGGAATGGACAGAGCTGTAGATGACTGGAATTCGTTCGAGTGCTTTGTCACTCTGTCCTCTTCTTAGTTACGTTACGACCTTTCCTGATCATGCGGCAAGAAATTGGCACAGAGGGAGGAAGGCAGGCAGACAGGCAGGAAGGGAGGAAGGAAGGAAGGAAGGAAGGAAGGAAGGAAAGAAGGAAGGAAGGAATGCGTGAATGAAAGAACTGTGGGTGAGAGGAGTTCTTTCGAGTGCTTGTCACCCTCTTGTCCTAAGTTCTATTTACGATGTATATTTCCTTTCTATGAGGCAAAAAATCATGCATCTGTGACAATATAGTTGCACATGTGTATGTTTGCAACATGTGATTTACCTTGTTCTCTCCATGAGGCTGTTGCAACAGGTATTCCGCCTGTCGGTGCTGTTTTGTGAGTAGGAATAGTTCCGGTTGAGCTGCCGCACGGCTCATCAAGATTGATAAGAAATCTTGTTTTTGGTTTTTTCCCTGTTATCTCCGCGAACAGCCTTTCTGCCCGCAAGGGTATGCTGGATTTTGCCCTTTCTGTTTTTTTTTCTTTTGTTAATTCTATTCGTGTGTTTTTCTGTGGCCCTTTTGTCTTTCTCTCATTTTGTCCTTTCGTTTTCCTTTCCATACCCTACTTCGTGTTATCCTTCTTTCCATACCCGACTTCGTGTTATCCTTGCGCAGGGGCCATGCTAATCTTTAATTTCTGCATCTTTCCAATTTTAATGGATGTCCCGAAGGACTCCGTACCCTACTTCTGAGATAGCAAGTGAGGAAGCTCCACGCGATTTTCTGCACATCTCCACAAAACCGTCCACATTCGGGCGTTGAGGAAACTCAAAGCTGTCAGTGGTGCTTGGCCCCTGGAAAGGACTGCTCAAATGAGAACGAAAGAAGAAAATGAAAACGAGCAGAAAAAGGAACTTGTGCAAATATAACATGTGCAAGAGACATATACAGCGGGCTTTTTGCTAGGTAAAAGTTCAGCCCAATATAACAAAACAGGGGGAAACAAACATAAGCAAATCCTAGATGACATATATATACGATATATATACGATATATACCGGGCAGCTCTGTTTGACGATATATATATATATATAGCGGGCGGTGCTTGCATGTGGGACTTGTCATCTGGGATCTGTCTTGTTTCCCTCTGTTCTATTTGTTTCATTTGGCTGTTCCCTTCCTCTCTTCTTTGCCT